TCGATCTAACTAATCTAACACTCTGGAGTGGTGAATAGTTATTATGTCAACCCAGAATATAGCTCATTAGCTTGAAAATTTTTTGATCCACAATGCATATACTCTGGAACACAAAAAATCATAATATTAATTTCGCAATGCATGTACTCTGGTGTATAAAAAATCAAGATACATTTGATATTAATTCTGCAATCAATAAGTAATTAATCTATCAACTTTTTTTTCTCGAAAGTTCTAGTATAATACATATATTATGAAATTTTGAGTTAGCATTATGCAAATTAACCTAACACTCTTGAGAAAATGAGAATCTTGATCTACCGATTTACAGACCCCGATCCTGTAAAATGTAATAGGGAACCAAAGATACTACTATTCTATATAATAAACCAAAATTTCATTTTTAGACTATTAGTAGATTTTTATAGAATATGAATAAGAGTTTAAAACAATGTGTAATTTATGAAAGTAAATATGAGTGATCTTCAAGATCTTGTGCGATGCTTCCAAACTTGATGCTTTGATTTCTAATTGGAAGGCTCGCAAGTTGTTAAAGAAGCCTTTGCAAGAACTGGCTAGTCAAGACGTCTATTTAGCAAAAAGCAGATAGAGGCTCTTCTGCTAGACAAAAGAAAGGTAAAACTTACTATAGAAAAAAGGGCAAAATACTGTGCTACAGCTGGTAATGTTATAGACATTTTTGCCCATCATCTAGACTTAGATCAAAAAAATAAAGATAAAAATAAAATAGTTGCCAGTGGCTCATGCCAGATACAATTCCATGTAAAGTTAGCAAAAGCTGGAGTAAATCCTAAAATTATTAATACTTGGGCCAAAGATCAGAAACTTATTCAATATTTCAATAAAATTCAGAAAAAATAAACTAAGAAGCGAATGGCTAATCCAGATAAAATTCACATTTATTTCTCCTTAGCAAGAGTATCTAAAAGGCTTTAGAATATGGATATATCTAAAATTCCTACTAAAGAGGATCTTGCGGATGTGATAGTGATATTGAGTATGAAACTTGTGAAAGTAAGATCTCTTCAAATCAATTACTATGAACCAGACTCTTTGAATATTCCAGCATGGTATAAAAATGGATATTCTTGGTATTGTATGGGTTATCTAAAAAGTAGAGGGGAGAAAAAGAATCCTGTACCCAAACCACCTCTTTCCATAGAGAAAAATCCAGAATGCACAAGAGAATTGTTTATCTGAATTCAAGAGGCAATTAAGGCTAGAAAGTTACATAACCCTGTCTTTACTGAAAGTGGTAAACATAATGATACACCTTTTAACGAATTCTTAAAGTAGGAGCCTTATAAAACTCTACCTGAAAAGTTAAGAGATTATAGAAGTAAGCACGCTTCTAGAATCCATGGAGATCCAGACTCGACCCCCAGTATCTTAGCTTGCTTACAAGAATTGTATTGAGACAAGAATCAGATTGTTTTAATATAGGTGATAATTATGCTATAGGCAATACAGAATCGAAAGAGTCTGACTCTGAACTAGAGACAAGCGATAGTCAAAAACCCCAAACGCAGACTTCTTCGCCATCTCAGACAATAGAAATAGATTCAATGTTAGCTGAAATTGATACAATGTTAGCTAAAATTCAGAAATAAATACCAGAAGTCAGGTCCAAGATGGTGATATAAATGTTGCTAGTTTAAAGAATTTTCAATAGGCCTTCATGTATGTGAGACTCAAGTTGTCCACTGTTTTTCTAATGCTATTCTTGAGAACACAATTGAGAGAGATATTTTTATATTAATATTTTTTTCTTATAAATTGGTGGTATCGATGTGAAATAAAAATCTATAAAGTGTATACTTCTCCTTTTTTTTACTAATCATTTACTAGATCGATTAGACATTGGTTCATACTTATTAAATAAAAGTCTTAGTTAATAAAATTTATATGTTTAAAATATAAACATGTTTAATATTCAAGATATTTTTGAGGAATGGGAAAAAAATAGTTATACTTGATACATGTTATCTGAATATGGCTTAAACTATATTAGTAATTTAAAAACACCAGAAGCTTGGCTACGATTTGCAAAATATTATTCACCTGAATATATACGTAGACATTTATTAATACCAGGACATGAAATAAAAGATAAGAACTATTAGAAAAACTTTGTATTCTGTATTAAAAATAATTTAATTAGAAAAGAATATATAGCCAATAACTCTGAATTTAGAGAATTTAAAACCCAAGTAGAATATTTTAAAACTTTGTATATAAAAACTCGACTGGCTATTATTATCCAGTGAGTATATCATTTATGAAAAAAATAAATAAATTCAGCTAAAATAATCCAGCGCATAGTGAGAAAATGGCTTTATTGACTAGGTGGCATATTAATAAAATATGCCCAAGATCAGTATTATCAAAATATTAATAAACTTGAAAATTTGAGATAACTTAGAAGATTTTTTAACACAGGTATAAAAGTGTTGATATAAAATAAAAATCTATGAAGTGTATACTCCTTCTTTTACGATTGCTATCAAAGATCTAGCGATTCTGGCTCATACTAATTAATTCGTGAATAAACAAATCGCCAAATCTGAAATGAGATTTTATAAAATCTGCAAACTAATTTTTTTATCATGAGGGTGTTTAATATATAAAAATGAGCTAAGTATAAAAAAAAATTGTGAAATACTTATCTGGTTATACTTTATATTAATGCATACAAATCTAATCACATAAATTTTACTCTTGAATATGTCTATCTCTACTTCCACATCAACTACTTCTATTAATAACATCAAAAATCTCACATATAATATTCTAAAAACCTTCAAGGATGGCATTATTAAGGGTAAAAAAATTACAGAACTAGGGCCATGCTCTGAATGTGACAATGTTATTTTAATATCTTCTCTTAAAGCATTTACATACCTAGTATGCGGACACCTTTTTCATAGACTCTGTATTGAAAAAAAGCTTTTACTTACTGTTCCAAATACATGTTCATTCCCAGGTTGTGGAAAGAATGTGGAAATATTAGATCAAGCTAATCTTCTTGGCACTGTTTCCAATTTGCCATTAACTAATTCCAAGAAGGCCTTCTAATCAACTAGAATTTTACCTTTGATAGGTGAAACATTTATTCTATCTTCACCACCTATATGGATATTACCTATATGGATAGAAGAAATCAAGGATATAGCAACCCAACAAGTCAAAATTAATTTGAGGTGTGCCAAATATTCTAAAGATCTTTCTTCATGTCTCCTACTTATAGGCTTTCTTCAGTTCTCTTTTCAACTTCAAGGTTCCTTGAAACCACTCATATACTTAAACTGCAAATATATCATTCATTACAATTGTATCGATAATCCACAAAAACTGTGTCCTATATGCCCACCAACTAATATAGAAATTGATAATAGTGTTATAGTAACTGTTATCCAAGAGTCAAGTACTGCCCAGAAAAAACATTCTAGTGGCTCTTCAGAAAAATCTTTTAACAAGAAAGCAAAAAAAGTTGGTAGAAAGGTCTCAGTATACTAAAACAACTTATAGAAGAATTATTAACTGATATTCTCATTGTTGATAAAAGCTCAGAGGAAAGAAGTTACACAACTAATACCAGGGGTATTTTTTTGAAACTTTCTAATAGGATTGATAGTGCCGAATCTAAAAACAAAGATATATCTCGTGACCTTATTACTAGCTACTTTTATTTTGAAAAGACTTTATATAATTGATATAAGGAGCTAAAACCCACTTATGGTAAAGATGAAGCTAAGGCTTTGGTCAAAAGTAAGATTAGGAAGGAAATTCATAAGGCGAAATTCTCTGATAATGCTTTAAAAAAAAAAATGGAAAGAGCCCGAAAGATGTTTAAAATTTTTAATAGTATAGGCAAAGAAAAAATAACATAGGTAAAATCTATCACTCCAGGTTTTATCCTAAATCTTATCATAGATAATACTAATTATGTAATTGTTGAAGTTTTAAAAGGGTCAGGAAGTATATAATACTGTACCATATTCTACTGTGCCCTGGTGACATGGTGTCCTATCTCGGCAATTAGAAAAAATAGTGTTTTCTTACAGTTGTATTTCAAAAATGTATTAATAAAACATTTTATAAAAGTTTTTACCCATATTGGGTTAGTAATTTTTAAACCAATATATTAATTGCTTATTACTCCAAGTGTGTTGATGATAACCGTTAAATATATGCTACAGCCTATAGATTAATACTGTGCCCTAGTAATATGTGTCTCGCCTTGGCAACTAAACACTACACCTTATTGTACAAAATAGACTGATTATTGAATAAATATTTAAACCTGCCCACATTGGGCTTAGTAATATGTGTTTGTTAGAATTATTTTGCATATGTATAAAATTTATCTGTATTACCTTGCAAGGCTTATCATTATGCATAACTTATTTGTAAGATAGATTACAAGTAAAAATTGCCATTTTTTATTTTTCTGAAATTAGTACTTAAACCAAAGTCAGTCAATTAACTCATATCACATATCAATATGTTTTGAATTTATTTTGTGGGAGCCTAACTCCAGACCGAAACCTTATCTAGCTTAAATACGCACAATATATGTATATATGACGGAGTATCACATTCTTTAATAATGATTTTAATCTTATATGGCTCTATAACTCATGATGCATACATTTACAAAATTTATAGAATTCTTTGCATCATTGATAGAAATTTCTCTGTATAGAAATACATGTCTCAACTTCTATTGTAAAAATTTTTTGATATAAGAGCATATGTTTATGCTTCTATCTAACCTTTTTAACATTTAAGTTTTAGAGAAGAGGTGAAAGAAAAATATATAAAAAGGCAGTATCTCAAATTTATTGTTATTTGTCACTTTTTAGTAATTTTATTTTTTTTTACTGTGATTCTTGTGATTTTCTAATTTATCATTATGTTTGCTGACTTAAAAATCAATATCTAAAATTTTTTGCTCACTGCCGAAGAGCACTATATAAATGCCACCACAGTTGTCTATCAGGTATTGAAAGAAGATCCTTGGTTATCACAAGATGAATTGAAGCCGATCATAGACCAAGCTGTAGAATTTGTTAGTAGCTTATACTCAGTTGGTTCAGAGCGCCAATTGGAAATTTTTCGAATTCCTTCACAGGTTAGTTAGATTTTTATATTATGTTCTAAAATTAATTTCATTATATAATGATTTTGTGTGATCCATTTGCAAGGCAAATGCTGAATAAATAAGCTATAGTTTTAGTTTGTTAGATTATGCTTTTCCTGCCCATTTAGCCTGCTTGCCAATAAATACTTACACATAGTAGAGGGGTGTTTATGCTATAATCTGTTATGCAGTTTTATGGTTCACCCTACTAACCTATTATATAAAAAGATTATTGTCATGTCGGAGGTGTGTTAAGTTATAAATCTTTATGTTGCTATTTAGTATCACACAAAGTTTCATTTGTGTAATGGCCATACAAAGATATTAACTTTGCACATGCACTAATAATATGTGTTATTTTAATGATGAATTTTTTTCTCATTTCTAAAAGATAATGTACTATATTTTATATATTAGTTTGACTGTGCTTTCAAGGGTGTTCTTAGCTTATATGATCTTGGGGCAATAAAAGTGGACAAGAAAAGCCCTCTTGATTTAGACCAGATTAAAGACAATATTAATAAGCTGAAGAAAAAACTTAACAAAGCTAACAAGCCTCTTTATCAGCAATTATATTCTGGTCTTAATGCTATACTCTTGAAGAATTAACTTGAAATGACCCCCTAGCCAGCCAAGTCATTAGTGATGATTCGAAACTTGTAAAACAATTAAATGAAAACTTAAAAAAGACATTTGAGGTATGTAATTATTAATATTAATATATATAAAGAAGTCTTCTCTCCAAGGCTTTTCTTAGAACAAATATAACTATAGTATTCTGATAATGCTTTCTATTAGAAACATGCTTAGCAAATGAAGCCTAAACTTATGCCAAGGGTTAAAGAAATATGTGAAGAATTCGTTTCAAGTTTTGTTAGTCACGAGTATCAGAATATACTACCAGAAAAACATATCCATGTCAGAACTTGGAAAGAATCTGAGGAAGAAATTGCAAGTGTTGTAAAAGAACTTTTTACTCTTCTGGAAGAGATCTGGATTAACCCAGCCTTCAATTCTGAACTCGCAAAGTCATTAAATGAAGAAACCTATCAATTAACTATAATTTTATTGTTAATTCGAGTGATACTAAAAAATCTTCTTTTTAGGTTGTTCTCATTCATCAGCACCTCAAAACAACAGAGTATTGCTAGTTCTGATAGAAAAGGCAAAGGGCGGAGAAGAAAACTAGATATTATATTCGTGATAAAATATTTAAAGGTCTTCTTCGAACTTATGTATGTAGAATATTCGTGATTATATTGTGACCAACAGAAAAAGACTGATGATGGGATAAAACTATGGAGGGAGACTAATGATGATATATATTGGGTTTGCAAAGTCCTTAAATCGAAGAAAGAACAATTCAAAATAGTTAGGGTGCAAATAGCAGGGAATATATTGTATTAGAATGTTTTTGCCAAAGATAAAGCTGATATCCATAGATATTTTCATATACAATTAGCTGAAATCCCAGTACAACAATCAGATGCAGATACTGTAACTAAATTTATAGAAACTCTTTTGTTTTTATATAATATATTAATTACAAATTTGTCTCTGCTATATCATGCATTGGCATCTAAATCAGATAGACAAAAAGAAGATAGTACAAATGTAGATTCTGAATAATTTATAATTCATTTTTATGTATCAATAAAGCTAGCCCTGGTGGCTGATTTTGCATTAGAGTATTTCACATACTTGAAATTCTGAAATAGTTTTAGAGGAATTAATAATTATAGTTTTGCATCACCTCAGCTGTAGAGCTCACCATGCCCTATTTGCAATGGAAAATATAGGAATTATGGACTACATGGCAAATGGAATAAAAATAAAACAGAATATTGCCTTACTTGCAATAGTTTAAGCAATGAACTCAAGTTCATGATCATAGCATAGGCCAGTATTAATATGCAATTATGTAAATGTTGGAAGGCTTATACTGGAATCCTAATATAACTGTAATAGCATAAATTAATATTATTTTCTTGCAAGCTCGAAAAAAAAAATGTAGTAATCAATTCAGGGTTCACCTACTTCCTGGCTTTGAGTGATAAAATCATAAGAAGGCAGTTCACAAATTATATTGTAAAAAATCTCATAAAAATAATAAATCAGGAGCCTAGCGTATAGTTGGTGGTAGAATTACTGAATTACAGCATTATGGCATTCTACTATATGATAGAATTAATTACAGCATAGCATCTGATTGCCATAATTATGTGGCAGAGCCAAAATTCAGAAAATCAACCAAAATTCTGGGTTAGTATATATCAAAACATTTTAGTATTACTTCATACGACCTGTTTCTGATGAATTCGAACACAGGCTTTTGGTCGGTATGCTTAATTTTGGTTCCATATTTATAATTACAGCAATTACAGCAAAAAATACAGCACATGCTATAATTTAATAATTTTCAAAATTAATTCTACCACCAACTATAGCCCAGCGGACTCCTTCTTTATTTATAATAATTGTTGCCAAATAGCATACAAATAAGAAAAATAAAATATATATGTTTTAGAGTAAATTAATTATATTTTTGATCTAACATTTCCTCTTGTTCACCAGAGTTTATATACTCATTATAATCATTTTTCTCTTTTCATTTCAACTTTTCTCTCGAAATATTTTTCCAGAATTGACCACTATCAACATTATAATCATCATCTTCTTCAGGATCATAGTCTAGATTATCTAAATTAATACAATAAATTGAGATTTTTCAGTTTTAGTAAAAGTATCATATTTAACTTTATTTACCATTTCAGTTTCTCCTAGTTCTACGTTGATGATTAGAATTAGGTGTCTTTTGGCTAGGTCTTGGATTGGGTGGTGTTAGGAGACATAATAGATCTCAGAGAAGTCATTGTCATTAGTCATAGAAGTAGTAGTGCTACATGTATTACTCATAGTAGTGGCATTATTATCATTGGTTTTGAAGTGTCGTTGGTCTTGGCAGTGGTGATTTTTTTATTACTGCTTATTTTTCATTCCTAAATACAAAAATCAAAGTAAGCAAAAATTTATTTTTATAGTTTCCATTAAATAAAATAGAAAATTACTTTAAAAAATATGGGTAAGTGAACCAAGTAAAAATATATATAAGCAAAAAATAACATTATTGCTAACTTATCTTATGGTGAAAACTTGCTTCTTTTTATACTATCTATTTATTAGATCTAAAAACCTACCAGAAAAAAAAAGTTACATAATTAGTAATTATATTACCCTAATACAGACTAGATCCCACCATGTAAAGCAAGTCTATTTGGTCATAAGTTCCAAATGCTGACTCTATTTTGCTATTTTTTTAGTTAAAATTTGACCCTCTAGATTTGCTAATCATTTAGAGTAGGCTAGATCTCAGAGATTGTGAAGATTCCAAGTTCCTACAATATATGATTTTTGATAAAACTGCTGTTAAAAAATGTTATGCTCATTACCCTTATAGTCTTTTTAAATCCTATTCTTATTATGGGATCATATATAACAGATAATAAGGTTTTACATTACTTGTAATAGATATTGGTTAACTGTTAATAAAAAAATTGACTGTAAGAAATGATTCTGCAGGAGAGTGTTACAAATCACATACCTAATTTTGTATGACTTGTAATACTGTCCACTTTTAAAATTAAAATTTATTACTGTTATATTAAAATAGTGTCACAAACCAAATATATTGACCAAACATCCACATAATGCCTATTCTAAATACTGAAATATGGCTCTTGTCGTATAGTCCAAAATATTCAGTTCCTATATAGCCAAATGTGCCTCAACAAGTTATTAACAATGTAATCCCAAATATAGAAAATGCACGATTGTTTGATTTGTCATATTCTATAATTGTAGTACCATATTTAGTAAACAATTTAATTATTTTTTTCATGACACCAAATAGCAATTAGTACTGTAGTTGACTCATGTCAAATTATCGCAATGCCGAGTTATTCATATTATATACTGCCTCATGTCAATGCAAATACAAAAAAATAAATTGCAATTTCTAATGAATAGAACCAATAAATAGAGCCACCTTTAATATGAAGTTCTATTCCAATTTTGCTTTTTTTTTTAAAAATATTTAAAAAAATTTTCTTTATAAAAATTACTTATCTGCCATATAAGCACTATGTTATTCCAAAATAAATCCATTGTATTATTATTAAAGGCCTCTAAAAGAAATCTATGTAAAAAAGGCTTTTGTGTGATAAAAAAAGCCAAATTTGAAAATCTTGATATTTGAAAGCCTCTAAAAGAAATCTACGTAAAAAAGGCTTTCGTGTGATAAAAAAAGCCAAATTTGAAAATCTTGATATTTCTGTCATTGAAAATAATACTAATTCCACATTTAATATTAACCTGGCCAATATAAGAGAAGATATTTTCTACGATCCTCTAAAAGTAAGTTAATTAATTTTAATACAAGTAAACCCCTATTATTTATAGTATAGTCTTCTTAGAGTACTTTTCACCTTCTGAGGCAGGCCTAGGAACTAAGTATTCCCTTCCTATTCAGAGTTACATTTTTTTCTTGGGCGTGATCATCATCCTTGATGTGGAGCATGTGTGAAGAGGAAGGTGATGCAGACTTCATAGGTTTTAAACCCTTGAACCACATTATATAAAGTGATTCAAATGCATCCACCAAGAAAATTTTATTACTATTTATGATAAAAAATATCTGGCATATCAATTTAACAATTTTTTAAATATATATTCTCTAGCACAAGACCCAGAGTAAAACCTGTTTATCCACTAAAACTTAAACTCAAGAATATATTCAATCTTATTGGGAGTCTAAAGATTTTGTTGCTAGTGATCTTAAGTCAATAAACGATTCTCAGTCTACTTTTTTAATGAATTCAAAAATCACCTTTTTTGAAAAATTTATGGAAAGAAGATGGCAACGACAAGTTGTTAAGACATTATTGAGCAGAGGGTTGCTCCTATCAGATACCGTAAAGCAAAACAGCTTTTCTCTTAAATATAATGCACTTTCCAATTTAGATTTTGAAAATGTTTGGAATAAATTTTACAATTCTGGCATTGATCTAGAAAAACTACTACAACCACAGACCACTCAAGTAATTCACCCAATTTTAACTACTTTTTAAATACTTGCTGAATTTATATATTTACTGGAATCAGAAGTTTTTAATTATAATAAAGCTACAAATAAAAATTCAAATTTAGCATGAAAGCAATTTGGATTATAGGCTTTTTTTGCAACAAGTCTCACCATTAACAAGCAGATTCGTAATCACTGCCAGTACCTCTGGTCCAAGGTGAAATATGCATATCAGCAATGCATAAAGGTAGAAGAAGTGTCATTAGAACAAACAATAACATCTAAGGCTCTTAGTCAAAATTTAAAAGATAAACAGATTATTGCTAATGTATTAACTAATAAAATGGCAGAAAAAAATATTAATATAAAAGAGTATTATCACATATTCGATACACAAACTTTTAAGAATGCTCTTGGAGAAATAATAGTGGATCTATTCATCTTTTCAAGTTTCAGAGTTACAAAAAGTGCAAAGATAATAGTAAAACAATACTATGTTCACATGCTTGATAGTCTATTGCACCAGTCAAAAGAATTTAAAAAGGAGTTAGTAGAGCACTTTGGTACCTTCACAGGCAATAATAATGAATTTTACACAACTGCAAATATTGCCTCATCCTACAACCAAGATTATTTAAAATGTGTTCAAAGATTAATACAAGGCCTTCAACCATTATCAGATGCTGTTAATAGCTATATTAGAGACACATATCCAGCCTTGTATATAAAGATGAGAAAACTTGATCTTGGTCTAAATGTTTTGAAATCTAGTAGTTAATTTCAACATTATCTCTTAGTTCTACTGAGACCTAAAAGATTACAGTGATTCACTTTGTATAGTCTGCCTACTTGGAATATTTGAAGGTGGGCAATTGGTGTTTTCTGAGTTAAGATTAATAATATATACAAGATAGAGTCAGGCTATTGCTTTTAGGTCTAACATTTTAGTCCATAGTAATCTTCCTATTATTGCAAGCATTCATCATAGTGTCTTTTTTATTTATGCAACATCAATTAAGCAAAATAAAAAATTCAGAACTTTGCTTTATGATACAAATCTAGATGTTTTAGATAGTAAAACTGATGTTGGTATAAATATTAATAAAAAACTTAGTGCACCAAAAAAATGAACTATACAAAATAAAAAATATTTAAAAATTACAAAGTCGGGTTTACCATCTTCAAAGGTTAAAAATTCAAGATGAAGCTATCTTGGTAATTATAATTTCTGTATTAGAAATTATTGTAGCAGCTGATGCTGAAATTGGCTGATGCTAAAATTTTAAATATTTTAATATTAAATTTTAAAAATTTTTGGGGCCTTTTGTTAGGGTTTTTTTTCTTAGGGTTAGGTTA